GACCCTGCAGCCTATGGGCCTGGCCCCCCTACAGCCTGCGCGCCCCCGTACGTGTTCCCGACCTACCCTCCCCCCGGCTGGACAGAAGAGGTGACTCAGTTTGCTTATTTTGCGCCTGTTTGCTGAATCGGTGCATCTGATATTGATTATTGATCGGTTAGATTAGGCAGGACTGATCCTTTTGGAGCTGGCTCCCTGTCCTGCAGTAACTAACTAAGTGACTGGTGGTTTGGTGAGTTCAGCCAGTCCCAACTGAAAGTCTTCTCTCTGTGTTTACAGCCTGTTGTAGAGGAACCGATGCCCAACCCACCGCCCGATCAGCCCGAGTGGGTGAGTAGAGACCAGGTTTAGGCGTAAAGGGGTTAAGTTTCCCGAGTAGAGTCATAACGGTTCACCAGCAGCCTAGGCCTATAGCAGCATAACTAAGGGAAGGCTCAGGGTCACCTGATCCAGCCCTAACTATAAGCTTTATCAAAAAGGAACGTCTTAAGTCTAATCTTAAAGGTAGAGAGGGTGTCCGCCTCCCGAACTGAGACTGGGAGTTGGTTCCATAGGAGAGGAGCTTGATAGCTAAAGGCTCTGCCTCCCATTCTACTTCTGTGGACTCTGTTTGTCTCTTGCCATTGTTTCTCAGATCAAAGCACTGATTTCGGCTCCGGCTGCTGAGTCGACTCCACCTGAGACAAAAAACCCCACCGAGGAGCCCACTGTCATTATAACACCTGCTGCTGACCCTGCTGATGCCACCAAACCTAAAGTGAAACCTAAACCTGAGCCTAACAAGATTGCCAAGGCCCTCGGCCTGCTGGGAAAACGCATGTTTGATAAGTGAGTGTTTGGTAAAACTGTGAGCAGCGGGTGCTCATTTGTACTGGTCAGTCCCACACACGTATACATCTTATTGTGATAGAAATGTGTCTTATGATATTTACAGTGGTGTGGCTTATTGAAGTCTTTATGTTACGACTACGCTGAATCTTCTTCTGTGGTGTTTGTACCTGTTGAGAACAGATTGTGAGCTGCTCTCTCTGTGTCCTCAGGCCTCCTCCCGGTCGCTCGACAGGCATCATCTCATTCATCGGGGTAAGAAACATCACTGTCTGCTGACCCTGGCAACTAGACAGTGTCGCACCTGTGTTGATAGAGGGTCACAGGTCAAATCAGGCTGCGTGTCTTTAACTCTAACAAGATTGATTGCAGGACTTTAAAGGTATTAAAAGTGTAATATAGTGTAACTTGTTTTATATAAGTCACATATTTTTTCTAATGTGCCACGGACAATAATGTTATTTTTGTTTATGCTTTTGTCCCCACTTGTTTTCATATTCTTCCTGTTTCCACTGTGCATCCAGCTCATGATCATCTGGTGAGGTGGGGTATTAGAAGGCCGGTTCCAGGCCTTTGATTAATTTTGATTATTGATTTCATTTTCAGTCTGTCCCTTTTCCTTTTTTCTGTTGATTCCATCGCCACTCTAGTCTTCCTGTCTGATTGAACGTGCTGCACATTACACTAGTTGCCTGAGCCCGTCCTACATATCGAATCCAGGCATGGTCATTAATCAGTGTTCCTCTGTCTGCGATCCTCAGCCGACATTTGGCTACATTGAGAGAGAAGATCTCGAGAAGTTCACCTTCAGCTTCGACGCCTTCTTTGGAAACCCCAAAGCCATGACTCCCGGGGTCAGAGTTCACTTCACCGCCTGCAAGGAGAAGGTGATTTATGGGTTTTTGTTGTCCTTTTGTGTTCTTGTACTTCAGTTGACTTTCGTCTGATTTGTAATATTTTTGGAAATTAGGAAGATTTAATAAAATAGTTTAATCAGTATTGAAGTTTAATCAACTCGAAAAGCCTCATATTGAACTTTTAATCTTTCCATTTTATATTAAACTGTTTCTTGCTGGGTCAAACTTTAATCTTCTTTATAAAACTCACATTTACTTTCCCCTTGTTGTGATGCTGTGCCACACAGGTGGAGCTGTCAGAGTTTAAATGTTTGAATCTGCTTTTTAAAGATGAACTTGTTTGTTGTTTTTGTTGTTTGTGTATTTAAGCAGAACAGTCTGATAGCGACAGATGTGAAGGTGGCTCCAGGTGGGACAGAAAACGTGGACACAGACATCTATGAAGCTGTGGTCAGTCAGCCCATCGTGGAACCTCAGGTCAGTTGATCTTATGGACCTCACCACCCACCCTCTGTCCCATTGCTGATCCTGTTTATTTTGTTGGCATGCAGCCCGGTGAGCGTCAGTACCCCGGTCAGGTGCATGTGACCATTGGACCACTGAGGACCAACCTGACGTACGAGAGGAAGGACAGCACGGTGACACTGCTGAAGAACGACCAGGTGCTTATCAACCTGCTGACCGACATCGTCACTGAAAAGAGGAGAGCCACTAACATCAAGCCCAAAATCCCTGCAACCTTCAGCCACACCAAGGAGGCGCGAGAGAAGGTTGGAACTGTGGCCCCTTCCTGCTAAAATTAAGCACTGTCACACAGGTTTTCAGTGTTTTTGGTCAACAGAGTCAATCAAGCACAGACCCATTGAACAGCTGCTGCAATATTGACCAAATATGCATTAACTGGACCTGATGGACTTTGAAACCTTATTGTTCACCACATAGTGGAGCTTCTGATCAGCTTCAGTTCTGATCTCAGTACAAGTTAATCTGCCGATGGTTTTAGCAGAGCAGTCCAAAACGGATGTGTAACTACTGATCTTTGGTTGGAACAGACTCCGAGCCACAGAACAGACAGGGTTCATTGTGGAGTTCTTGTTAATCTCCCCCCAAAAGTCTGGACAGTTTCTAAAATGTCAATTAATGTGAAGAAGCCTTGTTAGACTCTAATGAAGTGCATCCATCAGGCACATTGCAACGGTGTTTGAAACTGGCTTCAGACACCCCTGCTTAAGTCATTTTATTTACAAAACTGTAATTTTTAACAAAGTGCTGTATAAAATTAGGAGAAATAGGTAAAAAATAATCAATAACTGAATAAAAGGAAGCAGACATTAACACGACATTAAAAGATAATTCAGTCAATGAAAAATATTTCAACCACAGTTAAAAGGCAAGAAAAAAGTGGGTATTTAACCGGGAGGTAAAAGTGGCCAGGGTTAGGTGCTGGGTATTAGGGATATGGAGGTTTAAAAATCCAGTGGCACTTTTACACCACTCGGCATACCGCACAGATTTAGAAATTAGTAATTAGCCTGATAGTAACTGGACAGCCAGATGTGAGTCATCGCACAACAACACTTAATTTGGCGCTGCAAGTCGTCAGCTGTCCTTAGACTGACGTAGCTGTTTTTGCTTCTTCAGCTCACAAAGCCGTCTGCAGCATTTTTAGGGATTTGTTTTGTAAGTCTTGAACTGAAAACCCTAAGACAGGAGCAGGATCCAGGCGACTGACTTCACTAAGCTGACTGAACCAACTCTGTGTGCAATTTATTATTTTCAAAGTAACTTGTGCCTTGTGTTGCAGTCCCAAAAAATCAGCTAGGCAGTTTTTCTAAGAGAGTATGTTAAAGTTTATTTCTGTAGTACAGTGCTCACTTGTTGAGAAAGTGTTTGCTTTGGATCTTGAATCATTTCTCCTTCATGTATCACAACAATCTTTTATACTTTCATTTATTTATATTTACTTTGTTTATTGGCTGCTGCAGGGTGTCATCATCAGCCTGAATGACAGTGAAGGCGTCATCAGCTCTGACAAACACGGCGAGCTTCCCTTCGACACCAGAGAGAACTTCAGTGACGTTGAGTTCACTGCCGAGGACGTGAATGAGGAGGTGGAGTTCACCGTCATCACGGTGAGGACTCGGCCCGGGCTCACTGCTGCTGTTTGTCCCAGAAGGATTCGTAGCCATTCTCTCTTCTGAAACTGAAATGTCAGGGTTTTTTAGGGCCCCAACAAACAAATATCTTTACCATCAATTTAATTAATTTCTTCCATAAATGTCAGGTTTCACACCTGAGGCAACGTGACATGACTTGGCCTATCCAGCAGCCCAGAACCAAAGATAACCACTTAAATATCTCAGAAGACAAACACAGCTGCAGATGTTCACGTCAGAGAAGATGGAACCAGTGAATCTTTGCTTTATGTTTAAAAGCAGTTATTACAGTAATGAGTTATCAAACCGTTCAGTTCATTTTTGTTTGACTGACTAATCAGTTAACTGAATTGTCATTTCAGCTGTAGTCCTGTTAAAACTTGAAATCTACATTTTCTGCTTGTATTGCTCTCGGTGCGTATTCTAAACCATTACTTAAAATGTTCATCAGCTAAAAACGGGGAACTGCGCGATTAGGATCCAACGGGTCAAAGAGCCCCTCCTCCTGACGCTCTGCACTGCCACGGCCACAGCCGCCACCGAGGAGCTCGAGACAGAAAACACCGATGGCGACAGCAGCAGCAACGCCTCCAAGCTGTTCAAAGAAAAGACCAACGCCAAGCTGGAGCTGGGGCCCAACATGAAGCTGGACCCAGAGTTGTACGAGGGCATCGTGAGCCAGCCAATCATTGAACCCACAGTGAGTAACACAGCTCATCAGGCTTGGAGATGTGGTGTCGGCTTAGGTCATTAGTGTCGGGTTAGGCAAGAGTTCAGATGTTGGAGCTGTGGACCTGCACTGGATGGACTCAGGCTTTACCCAGCTTTTGTTGAATGGAAATGTTCTGATACCAGCCGAGCTGGGGCCTGTACCATGAAGCCACTTCAGCTTGTTCTGGTGCTCTTGGGGTGATCTAGCTTCACTGGTTATCTAGCATCTGGGATAACCAGTAGCATTAAGACGGTCATCAACTGGCTCTGTTAAATCTGGGCCTTCTTATCAAGCTACGAGCGCGTTCATGTGAAATAGGCAGAGTCGTTAATTAGAAGCAACAGCACCATGAGTGAAGTCGGCCACTGAAAGTAATATGAGACGGAGCAGTGATGCCTGTGGGGAAACTTGTTTATAGCCAGAGCAGGAAGTGACGTTACGGCAGGTGAACTGTGAACAATAGCCACAAAACTAGAACAGAATAAGAAGCTACAGAAGCACAGAAGCTCTAGAAATAATTCTCAAATATTAAGGCAAGAATAAGAATACACTATGCATCAGCACAGTATTATTTTAAGAAGTTTATTCAATGAGTATTTCTTTTGTCTGATGATGATGAAGCTGTTGTCAAAAATCCAGTGGTTTGTGCAGCCAGAGCAGAGACGAGAGGACAGCAGGGAGGAGCTACAACCTCAGGTCACACATTCATTTATAATCACGGGACATTTTTAACAGAGTGTGGATTATTGTTCTGATAAATGACCTTTATCACAGTGTCCTCGTGATTCTGAGCTGCAGTGATGGAGCCTGAAAAATGCAGTTTTCGTAATCAAATCATCTGTTCATTTAAAACAGTGCTGATCATCATGACGGCTGCAGACTCCCTCACTTTGTTAGAAATCCAGGAAGCCTGAAACAACACAACTATATGACTGAAGAAATATATATTTAATACTCATCACATTAATGTAGACTCTGACCCTTACTGCGGTGATCTGGCCTGATTAAAAGAGAGCCAGCGTTGTGGTACAGGAAAACCTGAGCTGAGCCCAACGTTAGCTGGATAAGCCACTGATCTTACGTTGTGGTACAGGTGCCTGGACATGAAAATTCAGTACCTTTATGGCAGCATCTGGTTTTGGTGACTTTGCTACTACTGAGAAATTTACTGTCATAAGTGCAACAGAATCCACCAGTATGTTCCCCTAACCAGTTTAGCAATCACCTGTTGAACTAGCACAGCCTATATTGGCAGTTAAGCTAAAACTGAAAGCTGACTGAATATAACTGTTAATTCTTGTATCTTAAAATGTGCGGTTCTCATGGAATTTGAGGATGAAGCCAACCACCCCGTCCTCCCTCTGCCAGCAACGAATCCCTCCGCATTAATGTTCATTTTGTTCTCTGTTCACTATGTAGTTGATGCATTAGTTGTCGTGGCTAGAATGTGATACAGACTAAATCAATTCAGACAAATCATCCCAATTTAAGTAATCATTTAATATTACAATTATTCTGAACAGAGTAGTAGTTAACTAAGCCATCTGGTAGTTAGGGAAACAGAGACCAGAGTCACTCCTCCTGCAATGGAATATATAAAGTATTAAATAAGAAGATTGTCAGAGTGCCGGTCTCAGTCTTGGTCACAAGGTCCAGTCAGTCAGAGTCCATAGTCCTGAGTTCGTTCCTCCACCCAGGCCTGGGTCCACGGAACACTTTTCACGGTAGCATTGTCATCCTCTTTTCTTCTGCTCTAACCCAGCTATCCTAGCCTTTTATTTGCTCGCAGTTACACAGCCTTCCATGGCCTGAGCCTTGAAGACGCAGTCTCATGCCAGCTCCACACACCTTCTTCCGAGCATTGTCTAAGATGTCCAGTACATGAAATTCTAGGTCGCATTGACCTCATGCACATTTCCTTTTTCTAAACTTGAACAGAGCACACGAACAGTTCACACAAGGCTGGAGCTATATCCATTCCCCATCTGAGGAGGAAGTCGCTCTGGATGTTGACCCATAGGTTAAACAAGGGGGACACAGCCCAAGATATTCTTGCTTGAGCAAGAGAAGAGAAACGGATCCAGCTTCCGTAAACACTTAGCTCAGCCTTACATAACTATTACAAATAATATCTATATATGAACTACATACTATTCTATTACATATTACCTCTGGACTGGTACCTTGTTTGTTTTTAACCACTACGGTCACATTCTGAGTTGACTCCCAAACAACCATTTCTCCAGCCACCAGTAGTCATGTCAGACAGCCATGGAGGAGCTCTGGGCAGCTAAAAGTCTGAACCAGCAGCTGCCAGAGTGAAGAGGTGGCGTCTTTAGCACAGAGAGAGTGGGACAAAGAAAGAGCAACAACCAGGGTTAACATGGGTTTGGCTGTTTGACATGGAGAGGGTTAAAAGCAGCCAGAGGACTCAGACTGGATCCAGATGTGGCCTTCTTCCTTCTGGATGTGTTAGCATCTAAAGCTAACCTGTTAGTTTTGGTAGCATTAGCCACCTAGCATGGTCAGGATTTTACCTTTGAATTAATATGATTTTAATTTGGGAGGAACTGGAGCTTTGTGTCACATCAGCAGTAACCAGAGTGTCCTACTGGACGAACACGTTTACTGTTAGACAGCTAATGCTAGCTTCAGACTGGAGGCTGCAGTTTGTCCCAACCAGGCATTTGTAGTTCACATTGTTGCTAGGAAACAGGACATTATGGGGGGGGGCAGAAAGTGGGAGGGACAGGTTTATGGTGCCAGTTTGTTTTGCGTCTCATGAGCCCCTCGAGGCTGAAGAGACATGAGGGGGAACAGCTTTAAGGACATTGTTTGGAGCTGAACATTTGGAAATCAGCTATTTTTGTCAAATGTGACGTCTCCTCACTGCCCCTCTCCAGCCCACCTTGCCAGGTTACCCAGGTCAGATCCATGCCAACATCGGCCCCATCAGGACCAACGTGACCTTTGACCACCGAGACTGTGGCGTGACGCTGCTGAAGAACGATCACGTGTTGATCAACCTGCTGGTGGACATGGTGACCAGGAAGAGGAGAGCAGCCAACATCAAACCCAAAATCCCTTTCACATTCAGCTACACCAAGGAGAAGAGAGAGCTGGTAACACACGCACTGCTAAATAGCCCCAACACACAGCTCGCACACTGTGTAACAGCCTGTTAGGTCTGTTTTAAACCAGCTGCAGTTCTGGTGAAGCTGGTTTGTCCATAAATCAGAAGTGAAGTTAAAAAGAATTGGTTTGGTGATGAGTTAATGTTTCAGGTTTTGCTCTGATTCCAGCTGCTCAGTGTGGCTATCTTTCAGGGCATCATCACGTACCTGGGAGCTGAAGAAGGCATCATCAACACAGATGAGCATGGCGAGCTTACCTTCGACAAATGTGAGAACTTCAGTGACACAGAGTTCAACAGCAGCGACATCCACAAAGAGGCGGAGTTCACCATGGCCCTGGTGAGTCTGACGGAAAACTGCTGGACCACAGAGTACAGGAAGTGAATGAGATTCACCTCCTAAAGCTGTTTTCCTGACTTCTCAGGTGAAGTCAAAGAAGAGAGCGATTAGGCTTCGGCGGACAAAGAGGATTGAGGACAAAATCCTGGAGGAGCAGAAAAAACGGGAGGAGGAGGAGAAAAGGAAGAAAAAGGAGGAGGAGGAGGAGAAGAGGAAACGGGAGGAGGAGGAGAGGAAAAGGAGAGAGGAGAAGGAGGCGGAGAGGAAGAAGAAGGAGGAGGTGGCAGCCGCACTGGCCGTGGCCAAAAACAAGGTGAGAAGCAGTTGATGTGCAGAGCTTTCGCTGACTTTCACTCAGATTTTTTGTTTTTCTTTATTCTTAGATTCTACACTCACCAGTTTATTAGGAACCACTGTGTCAGACTATGTGAGTCTGATTGAACAGTCCTGCAGTAAACCCTCCTTCATGAATGTGATGATGTTCAGACCGTTTCACAGAGGTGTTGGTTCACTTGTGTGGTCACTGGACTGGGTTACACTGAGAGCTGGTTGTGGTGTTTAGCCCAGCCTCTTTGGTATAAATGGGGAGGACAACCTTCAGTGTCTGTGAGAACCATTTTCCAAGTGTTTGACTGTTCGCTGTCTTCTTGTCAACATGCTTTCCTGCAGTGGACCCCACTCGGCTTCATAATAAGAGATCCTGACTCGCTGGATGACATCAGCAAGGAGCGATTTGAAGGCACTGTCCTTAAAGCCATTTCCAAAAATCCACAAAAAGAGATCAAGAAGGAGGAGAATGAAGGACGGGGTGCTGAGGACAAACGAATGCTTGTTGGACAGGTAAAAAAAACATACTTCCCTGAAATTCCTGTAAAAGTTTTGGCTTTGGTGAAAAAATGAACTAAAAATTTAAGAAATGTTGCTCTAAATTCTATAAATTTTTTCCTTGCAGATCAAAATTAAAGTAGAGAAAATGGATGAAGATGAGATGAAAGGGGTGGAAGAAAAACCTGAAAGAGAGGGAGGAGGGGAAGGAAAGATGGCGATAAAAAAGGAGGATGAAAAGGAAGTGAAGATAGCAGCTAGAGGTGGAGACAAACCAGACCCAGCAATAGGTCGACTTGTGATGACCATCGACGGTCAACAGAAACAACTTCCCTTTGGTCCCAACGACCTGCTGACCACTGCCACCATGCTGGATGGAGACAAGGTGAGAGGATGATTCCACAGTTCCTTGGAAATGTGTAGAAAGATAAGCTATGATTCTTTATGACAGAGCAGAAGGTAGAGTCAGAATAAGGCAGAGTCCACGTCCCGGCTACAGCACCTCAGACCTGGTGTGTCCACAGCAGTGTGAACAGACCAGATGTCCTCAGACCAGATCTGGGCCACCTGCATATGTGCTCCTAGACCCGATTCCTCTCCGACCTCTGACTGTGCAGTGCTGTCAGAACGGTCAGATCAGAATTCATGTGGTCATATTAATGTCTCCTCCTCGGCACATACTGCCTGTCGTCATCATTCGGCGTCGGTCCTTCACAGACCGGTAACAATAAACATGGAGGAGAGTGACGACAGCGACGGGGTCAGTGGAGAGACCAGGACATTTATGGAGAAGCTTCTGATCAGGACAAACTGGGAGGAACATGTCGTAACCCAGCAGTCTGGGAAGAAACTGGGCCATTTGACCGTCGCACACATGACCTGGTTGTTATTCTTGTGCACACGTGGCTCACATTTCATTTACATCTGTGCATGTGGCAGTTTAGGAGCTCAGCGGTGTTCACACCGGAGCCGGGTACATGGCCCTGACACACGGATGGGAAGCAGACACACAAAGGTCAGATCCAGCTCAGACATCAGGACTGAGCATGAAGGCCTGGGACATGCACGCAGCCTAATATCAGTGAATGTTTTTTTTTCTCATACTGCTAAAGTGTCCATCTGACTAACATGGAGCCCATAACACAATATAGATGAAAATGTTCTGCAACTGATACCCATCTTCCAAGGAAAGAGAATCACTGATAAACATTGTTTTTATTGAAAAGGTTTGTTGTCTATACAATTAAAGCTACAGTAGGGAACTGAAGGTAGCGCAGCATGAGACTCCAAATCAGCCCACCCCGCTCCGCCCAGCTCGTCACATATCTGTCGTTATGAAATTACAATAAATGAAAATGCAGCCAAATTCACTGACCAATCAGAAATAATAGAAAATCTCTGATTGGTCAGAGAGGTCGGTCCCACTCAAAACCTTTTAGAAGCTGATATCTCTGCACTGCTGCCAGTGCTGGTCAGTGAGTCTGGGTTGCAGGAAGCTCCACATTGACACATTTTGGAGCAGATTTTCTACAACAGAAATATTTGAAGAAAGTTACATACTGCTGCTTTAGGTTCCTAATGTTGTGTTTGATCTGTGAAGGTGCGTTTTAACATTGCCACCCACCGAGAGACCAAAGAGGAGCGAGCCACATATGTGGAAATTCTGCCCGACTCCTTTGAGGAGTCTACTGAACAACGTCGCCACGTAAGACTTTTAAACATTTTCTCACCCTCTTCTGAAGCCAGAGATCCAAAAATTGTCTAACTAGGAGCTTTTAACTGATTTTTGTCTATAGCCTTAGAGGTGTAAGCAAATACAGGAGTGGATGTGGATCCAGACACCAACCAAAACCAAACCCTGTGATGTGCTTTAATTGTGTCAGTATTTAATGTGGTGTTTTTCAAACCAGGGCATTGTGATTGAGTTTTCCGAGGCCTCGGGGCTCATCAAGTGCAGCCAGAACCCTCAGCTCTACTTCCACATGTCAGAGGTGATAGAGAAGAAGAAACTGGAGCTGAACGAGAAAGTTGAGTTCAGCGTTGTCCCGGTGAGTCCTCCTCATCGGTTCAGCTCGAAATGTTTCCGTTTTTGGTTGTCTTAAATTGTCTTAAATGTCTAAATACGTTTGTTATTGAGGTCATAGAAGAAGAAGCAGCAGCTTAATTTTATTGTCACTGTAACATTGTGACATGTACAATGAAATGTTGTTTGGAGCCGAGGGCCCCGGGCCGCTGCATGCATACACGCCGTGGGGGTTCAAGGACACTTCGACATGTGGACTGTAGACACCAAGAGTCGAACCTTTGACCTTCCGGTTGGGGGACTACAGCTCTACCCACCGCACCACTGTCACCCCCCTTTAAAATAGTTAAAGGTGGTGTTGTACTGGGCTACATTATATTCAGAGGTGTTCCTAATATTATGACCCCCTTGAGTATGTAACCAGGTGAGGACAAAAATATAAAGGCACCTTAAACCTAAGTAATGTCTGATATTGTTTCTCCAAGCATGAAACTGCAGAGGGGGGACACCAGGCGATCAGGATTAAACGTTACACCGAGAGTGTTTTCCTCCCTGCTCGGAAACTTGGCGGCGTAGGGGCAAATAAAGGAAAGGTATGAAGGACTGTATTTATATGTATACAGTTATGGTGTAAAAAGACATGAGGAGCTTACTGCTGTCATTTTATTTTTCAGACTTGGCAAAGCTGATGCTTAAAAATTATTTTCCATAGTCAGTTTCTTTTCCATGTTGCTGTTTATGTGCCAAAATTTTGTAAAATATTAGTTGGACTTCCATATGAATTCAGATCTGTTACAGAATGATTTGAAGGTCAGTTGTAAAGCTGTACTACTGAGTTCATTAACAAATTGTGTGCATTTAGCAAATGATGAATTGTTTCTGTCACAAGATGCTGGCAGCGGCAAATCTTTTTCTAACTTTCTCATACATGTTTGTCCCCTTTGGTAGATGACCATCAAGCTGACAAGGGCCTCAGAAGACACCGAGTGAGTTATGAATTACTGGTCTAGGTTTTCTAATGTGATGTTCACTTATCAAATCATTCACTAACAGAGATTTAAAAGGGTCTGAAATCACTGTATACTTATAATAGGCTCTGACTAAATGACTGAATTTGTATTGGCATCTAAACGCATGTATTTTGTGAAATTTAGTTTTAAGTAAAGTTTTAAATCACTCTCATTATATTTCAGGAAGGAAAAACCAGAGTCAGATAAGCTGAAAGCAGTGGTGAAAAATCTTAGAGCGCAGGACAGCAAAACCAGTATTGGCAAAAGGGATTACAGTGCGACTCGACGTAAATATGGCCACAGTAGGAGCAGGAGCAGGAGTCGGAGTAGGAGTAAAAGTAGGAGCAGGAGTTCATCAAGAGACCAGTTTGGACGCATCATCAAAAGGAGACGAAGCACCAGCTTTGACCGAGAGCACAAAAGCAGCAAGCACAGGCGAAGTCGAAGCCGTGAGAGGTCACACAGGTGCACCAGAAGCCGAAGCAGTAGTTGCAGTCGAAGCCGAAGCAAGAGCCGCAGCAGGAGCAGGGAAAGGAGCAAGGACAGGGCCAGCAAGAGGAGGAGCAAAATCAGCAGAGACCGTGAAGAAAGTCATAGGAGGAGGAGGGACTTGAGCCCTCCTCCCAGACGTGGAGGAGTCATGGATGACGAGCTGGCACGGAAGAAGCGGGAGCTGGAGGAGCTGAATGAGATGATTGCCTACAAAAAGTCACTGGTAGACAGAGACCCCAGAGGACTGGACCCTGCACAGAGGACCTGCATAGATTATGACCATGGCAGAATTGCTGTCCCACTTGCTGAGTACAAACCAGTTCGGTCCATCCTGAAGAAACGACCTGAAGGGCCTGAGTACCACCATCGTCCTCAGCCTTATGATGATCCTTATTATAACCGGTCATACAGTTCTTACCATGATCAGCGGTACGGTGACCGCTATGCTGATCCATATGCCAGCCGCCCCTATGCTGACCGCCCTTACGGTGACCGACCCTATGGTGAGCCTTATGAAAGTCGGCTCTATGGTGAACCTCCTTATGGTGGCCCTTCATCGGCCATTCGTCGTTACACAGATCGCTATGATGTTTATGATGAACCCTATGATGATCGTTACTATGACCCACTTTATGATGATCCATATCACCCTGTAAAACAGAACCAGTCTCCTGAACACCATGGTCCCTCACCTTCTTTGGAGTCAGCCGAAGTTCCTTCTGCCTCTACCCAGCCCCCCTTGTCACATACGACTGGTACTTCATCTTCCAAACCCCCTTTCAGGCCTCCTTCTCCAACAGAACCGCCTCCTAGAAGCCCTTCTCCCAAGCTGAAGAACACAGCACCACGTCAGTCACCTTCAGCTGAGAAACCACCCCTGGACCGTTTCCTTGACATGCTTAATAAAAAGGTAGATGCTGAAAAGAAATCAGAACCAATTCATGTTACTGAAGATCTTCTGCCTCATGAGCGGGCACTTCAGGATGGCAGGGGCTTTTCTCGGATTGTGGGATTGGCTCAAGAGCTCCCTAGTAGCAGTCGAGCTCTAGAAGAGAAAGCAAAACAACTAAGCCCAAAACGGTCCTCATTAGAGAGAACAAGTGAAGAACCAAAGAATAAGACAGAACCTTATGACAAGATTCAAAGTCTACTCCGTACGATTGGACTGAAGCTAAGTACAGGAGATGTGTCCAAACTGGCAAATCGAGCCCAGGAGAAAATGAAAAGCACAAAGGCCTCATCCACAGAAAGAGACATTTTGTCATCTCCAAGAGAAGAGCTGCGATTGAGCAGAACCGAATCTGTTGATTCAGATCACATCCATTCCCCCTCCCCTGTCAGGTCATCCAGTTTGGAGCCACTCAGCAGACATAAAGCTGCCTCAGAGTATGAAGGGTTCCTGGACCAGGAGGAGCTGGAGGTGCTAAAGAAGGCACAGCAGTTGCAGAATCTTACCAAGACGATAGGAAGTACTCCCTCCACCTCTCTTTCACCTAAACCACCTCCTGGGCCTCCACCTGCTCACTACCAACATCCATCTCCACCAGCCAACTGGCCACTTGGAGTCAACTCACAGGACCCCACAACCCCCAGCGTGTGCACTTCAGCAGCGGGTCAACCAACACAGAGATTTGGATCTCTAGGACCTCCACCTGGTCCTCCTCCTGGACCTCCTCCACGGCGTCCTGTGCAGCCTCCTCCAGGACCTCCTCCTGGACCTCCACCCCGGCGCCCTCTTGGACAACCTCCTTTTGCTCCACCCTCCAGTCATTCAGTCGTTCCTTTTATTGACCAGCCAGCTTCAGGCCCTTTAGTCACTGCTGGAGTAACACCACCACCAGCAACATCAAGTCCTGCAAGTAATGACCAGTCGGCAATTTCTACAACTGTGGCTAGGTGCCTCAAGGTCATAGAGACAGTGAAATCTCTGAATGTGCAGCCACCAAGTAAACTAGTCAAATCAGTCCAGTTCAGTTTACCCACAGAGTCTCCATTAACCTCCAGTCCTCAGTCCTCAGAAGAGATGGGTGATGACATAAGGATCAAGCACAAAGAGAAGGTACAGTCAGTAGTGGCACTGCTGTACTTGGATCTTTTGAGTAAAAGTAAACATGCACTGTTAGATGTACTAGTGAAATGAAAGTAAGAGAACATGAGAAGACTCGAGATGGATTTGTTCCAGCACCAAGAATGGGGTGGTTTTTGACACAAATTACAAGGAGTTCTTTAAGGCTTCTGAAGTGCAGTGTCTTTGAGATAACACATTTTTCTCTTTGGAGCATTTGGCTAATGATTTGTATCTGCTCAACTCAACTCAACTCAACTTTATTTATATAGCGCTTTACCACAGCACAGCTGACCAAAGCACTTAATATGTCATGCAAATATAAAAACAACACATAAAAAGCTAAAACAGTAATATAAACACTAACACTACAGAGTCTCATTCCTGGCCAAATGCCAATGAATACAAGTGGGTCTTCAAATAAGACTTAAAAGTGGACAGTGAGGGGGCCTGCCTAATATAAAGCGGCAAGGCATTCCACAGTTTTGGACCAACCACAGCAAAGGCTCTATCTCCCCTAGTTTTCCGTCTGGCCCTCGGTGCCTCCAGAAGAAGCTGATCTGCTGATCTGAGGCACCGCGACGGATTATACGGACGCAAAAGTTCCACAAGATAAAATGGTGCCAGCCCATTTAAGGATTTGTAAACAAAAGAATCTTAAAACGAACCCTAAAACACACCAGAAGCCAGTGGAGAGATGCCAGTACTGGCGTTATGTGGTCCTTTTTACGCCCCCCAACCAATAACCGAGCGGCAGCATTCTGGACCCTCTGGAGGCGGGCAAGACCCGATTGACCAACTCCAGCGTACAGTGCATTACAGTAATCCATGCGTGATGTAACAAACGCATGGATCACTGTCTCCAAATGCTGCCGCGACAAAAAGGGTTTTAATTTTACTAACTGCCTTAAATAGAAAAATCCAGATTTTACAACCGCATTTATCTGGCTCTCCATTCTCAAATCCGAGTCTATTCTAACACCTAAATCAGTGCCCACCGATCGCACATACTGCCCCAAAAAGCCTAAGTCTACAGGAAGAGGGTCGCCAGACGTATTCTGGCCAAAC